AAGAGCTCATACAAGAAGGAGCTAGGATTTCACTGACGCAGACTACAAACCGGCTATGAGTTAGTAGCTGGATGTCTGAGGCACAGGAGATAAGGGACTTGCCAGTGGTCACAGAGTCAGAGGTAGAATTTGAATCAGCCTTCCTGACTCCAAATCTATCTATCCCCTTGACCACTACTATAGAACGATAAAATAAAGAACTAAATTGGGCAGAAGGGAACAAATTGTCAGAAAGACTTATCAGTGTGGAGTAGAATCAGGGATGTGCTAGAACCAGGTCATACCATCTCATGAGAGCCAATTGTTAAAATTTTAGTGTGAGCATAATTAAGCCTGGGAAATCAGCAAACACTATAAATCAGGACTTGATTTATTTTTTTCTTGATTGTCTAGACTTTAGGAAATGATAGAGAAAATGTTAATCATGCCAATTGAACTTAAAAATATGTCCTGCACACATTTTTCCCCCAAAGAGTCACTTTTTAAACATTTAGTCGCATGTCATTGGATAGGGTCATCAGAAAAGACTGAATGGTGGACATGAGATTTGTGGTGACCATTGTAGAAAGGATAGGCTATGGAACAAAGTCCTCTTGGGAATTTGGAGGAAAGGGGTGGGAAGAGGAGAAGACAGGGAGCAAAAGTAGTTCTTTAAAGACAAGGGAGAATGAGAAAACCAGAAGCTGAGAAAGGTGAAATGAGTGATGCTGTAATCATTATAACTACCAAGAATGCCACCTACTATCATTATTACTGTTATTACATTGAAGGGGAAAGGAATGTCTCTGTTTACTGAAAATAAATCTCTGGTGAGCCAGAAGCCCAGCTGATACATATCATATCATATCAGATAATTTTTTTGTGAAGTTTTGTTTTTTTTAAAAGTATTCATTTAGAGGTTTGTGAGGTCAGATGAAAGATGGCTATATTTTCAATTAACATTTTTTGTTAATAAATATAAAGGGAGGGGAAGCTGGAGGCTACTCGAGCCTCTTCCCCTTTTTCTGGATCAGAGTTCTTATCCTGAATAGATTTCAGGGCATCTACGAACGTAGATAAGGGGAAAAATCATCTTTGTTTTCATTGACCTCTAACTGAAATTTGGCATTTCCTTCAGTTATTTCAGAGAATATTTATTCTAAATTATTTCTAAATTCTAATTGTTTATTAGATATGTTCTAATTCTGCATTCTGTTTGCTCTAAATAATATTGATTCTAGGCAGCTAGATGGCGCAATGGATAGAGCCCTCAACTAGTCAGGAAGATCTGAATTCAGATAAGAGCTCAGATACTTAATAGCTGTGTGACCCTAAGCAAGACACAGAACCTTTGTCTGCCTCAGTTTCCTCAGCTACAAAATGGGGATAATCATAGAACCTACCCTCTCAGGATTGTGGTGAGGATGAGATATTTTAAAGCTTTGTAAGCCTTGAATTGCTATATAAGTGCTAGTTGCTGCTGCTGCTGTTGCTGCTGCTGCTGCTGCTGCTGTGAGAAGATATCCATAGGCTTCACCAGATTGCCAAAGGGGTCTATGACCCAACAAAATTTAAGAACTCCTGCCATAGGGAATTGTGTCTCTGCTATCCTCATTAAACGTACATGTTCAAATTTACAAAAGATAGAAGAGAAATAATTGAAAAACAGTGACCTTAGGTTGCCTGAAGACATTCTTTGGTATGTTCTGAGAGGTGCTATTTGTCACCCTGCAGTAAAAGTTGACAGTGATTACTTGGGGGAATGAATAGAAATCTGGATACAAATTCTTTATATTTTAAAGATAGAATTGTACTGTTCTCTAACAATTTTGTGTGTATCAATCTTCTCACCCTGGCTAGATTACAGGTTCATTGGGAGGGCTCTTCTTTGAGATTCCCCAGAAGATCTAGCATAAAGCGGACACTCAGTAATGGCTTATTGATGGACCAAGTCCACTTCTCTGTGAGTAGCAGTGACCCATCCTATCTACCTATCCACCAAAACAGCATATATAATTCTGACCTCACAGGATAATGACCCAGCTTCCCTGGATCATTTGCACTCAGAGTGATATCAACAATGCAGTCTTGGGACAGATAAGGATAATAAAATGTTCTTTTCCTATTCATTTGCAAATAAGAGCAGGGAGGAGATCAATAGCAGCCCCTTCCCCACTATGCACATACACACCTCCTCACACACACATGCACATAACACACATACACACAGGGACACACAATTCTGAGGGCTGTAGGCAGGTCCTCATACTCATACCCTGTTTGTACACTGTGCCTAAGTAGCCAATGGAATTCTGTTGACTGGAAGGAGAGGCTACAATCCAAAAGCACTCCTAAACCTCCAATTCAATTCAACAAACATTTATTAGGCATTTGCTGTGTGCAAGGCTCTGTGCAAGGTGCTGGATACAAAGACAAAATAAAACAATTCCTGCCCTCAAGGAGCTTACAGTCTACTAGGGGGGAGGGATAGGACATGTACACAAGGTATAGTGTTATGGGAGCGGGGGCAAAGAGCTCCAGACAATTTGTTCAAATAAAGTGGAGGAGGGAGAGAATACTCTCATATGAGGGGATCAGGAAAGGCTTGATAGAGGAGTTGATAGTTGAGTTAAGCTTTGAAGGAAGATTAGGATTTTGACAGAGAGAGATGAAGGAAGACTGGTCTTCCAGACAGTGGGATAGCCTGAATAAATGCACAGAGAAGGGAGGTAGAATGTTGGTTTGAGAGATAACTAGGATTCTAGTATGTAGAGTGTGTAAAAGATAGTAGTGTGAAATAAGCTGGGAAAGGTAGGTTGGAGCCAGATTATGGAGGGCCTTAAATACCAAACTAAATTTTTGCTATTTTTAGTCAATGGGGAGCTACTGCAGGTTTTTGAAGAGGGCAGTGACATAGTAAGCCCTGCACAATAGAAGGTAATTTTGGCAGCTATATGAAGGAAGGGTTGGGAAGGAGAAAAACTGAAAGCAGGGAAATCAATTAGGAGGCTATTGCAGGAGTCTAGGCAAGAAGTGATCTAACCCTGAACTAAAGTGAGAGTCACTTGAGTGAAGAGAAAGAGAGAGGTGTGAGAAATATTACGGAGAAAGCAATGACAGCAACTGGTGGGATAAAAGGTGAGGTAAGACACTGAGTCAAAAATCACTCCAAGGTATTAATCTGGGGTGGCTACAAGGATGGTGATACCCTAGTCTCTAGTATAGTTAGAAAAGTAGGAGGAAAGGTATGACCATTTGGGACCTATTGGGCTTGAGATACTCGTATGACATCCAGGTAGTAGTTTATCAGGAGATTAGAGACATCACGGAACTGGAGTTCAGAGAAGAGATTATATGGAACTATGAGTTATTTGTGTAGAAGTAATCATTAAATTCCCAATTACAAATGAGATCACCAAGGGAGAGAGCTTAAGAAGTGGAGAAGAGAGAAGGGAGGACAGGAGATGAAATGAGAGGGGAGGAAAAGAGTTGGCCTATGACATAACCTTGGAAGACAAATACACTAAGTAGGTAGGAAAAGGAGGAGGAGCCCTCAAAGAAGATTAAGGAGCAGCCAAACAAGAAAAAGAACAAGAGGACAATTCTTGGTGATCCAGATGGAAGGGTTGGTCAACAGTGTTGACTACTGCAGAAAGATCAAAGAGGAGGGTGCAGACTGAGAAAAGGTCATTGGATTTAGCTTTAAGAGACTTTTATGACCTTTGAAATAAAAATTTTAGTGGGATGGTGGGGTCAGAAACAAGACTGCAAGGAGCCAAGGAATGAATGGTTAGTAAGGATATGAAGAAAACAAACATAGACTATCCTTTCTAGGCCTTTAGCAGTGAAAGGGAGAAATAGATATAGAATGATGTCCTGAAGGAAAGTATTTTTAAAGGTAAGGGAAACTTGAGCATGTTTGTAGGTTGATGGGAAAAGAAGGAAACAAAAGGGGATGGAAATCAAGAGCACAAACAGAGAGGCTAGACTTGGCAAGAAGAAATCTCATCTCATCTTCTGAGCCTGGAGCAAATTAGAAGAGAATGACTAAAAATGCTGAGAGATTTTGAGGTATATGAAGGAGGGGAGATAAGAGAACACAGTCTGGAGTTCTGGAGTAGCTGCTGTGGTTAGTGTGATAGGTAGTCAATAAGAGATGAATAGAAAGATTGTCATGCAATGGAAAGGGGCCAGTTAAGGTTTGATAACATTAATTCACAGTGGAACCAGTCTGCAAGTTTTATGACTTTCTCCAGTAGAGTTTAATGTCTTAGAGCAGGATCAGAGAAGGTAGAGTATAGAGGCTACTCAAAAGTTGAAGATCAGCAAGGCATTAAAGATCAGAGTAGCACAGAGGGAGACAGAGCTGGAGGGGACCTTGGAAGCTATCATGTCCAAATCTCTTAATTTTTCAGATCAGGAAACTGGAGTTGGGAAAGGTTAAGGGACTTGCCCAGGATTCCACCCCAAATGTTCACATGGACTATTTGTGCCCTACCTGTGATAGAGCATTCCGAGCTCGTATTGGTCTAATCAGCCATAGTCGGACGCACTGTAACGTGACTCTAGCATAGTGATGTCATTTTGGTCCTCTTCAAGAATGAAGGACAACAACCATTAGTAACTGTCTGATGTGTGATTTGAACTTGGGTCTTCCTGACTCCCAGATCAGCACTCTACCCACTGAGCCACCCAGCTGCCTAGGACAAAGGGGCAATGGATTCAAGATGGAGAGCACCTTGTTGAACTGGTGGTGGAGGGTAGTATGTGAGGCCAACAGCAGAGGCAAGACTATGAAGGGAGGCAAGTCAGGACAGAAAGTGAATGGGAAATTGGTAGCCTTTGCACAGGGGGGCAAAAACATCTCAAGACAACTGTTGTGTCAACACCAGCGTTCCTCAATCCTGGACCTGAAGGAGAAGCCAGGAGATATTCAGGTTAGGAAGACTTTCGGGTCCAGTTAGCCCATTTTATCACAACCGAGACTAGCAAACAAAGATATTAATAGTGCAAACTTTATGGTTCTTGTGATACCTTCAAGGGACAGGGTTGAAACCAACAACTTACTCCCTTGCCCCTCCCAAGTATGTCCCTTTGCATTTACTTCTTGGTCTTTTTCCAGGCAGCCAACGTATGATACGGTCTGTTTTCATGACTTGGGGCTCCTTCAAGTATTCCACTTCTATTAACTCCTGGCTTGGGCTCCTAAGGACCATCAGTTGGAAATATGACGCCTGTGACTACCTATGAGAATAATCTATGCCTGGTTGTTTGTGAACAGATCTCCCATGTCATTTTTCTTTCCCACCGCTTCTTGGAACTCAGGATTTGTGTAGGGCTAACCCCACTCAGCAGCAGGCAGAACTGAAAGATTCTCACACAACACCAACAAGTTTGCAATTATGTATTATGGAGCCTATGTATTTCGGAAAGCAGGGAAAGAGAAACACTGGAAGAGCTGCCTCATGGTAAAACTAATTACTACTAACCAGCCTATCATCTATACCCCTCTACTTCATCATCTTCCGGTAGGAAAGTCGGCTTCCGCAAGGATAGCATGGATCGCAGGGATCGCAGGGATTGCATGGATTGCACGGGTCGCAGGGATCACAGGGATCGCATGGATCACAGGGATCGCATGGATCACATGGGTCACACGGATTGCATGGGTCACATGGATTGCATGGGTCACACGGATTGCATGGATCGCATGGCTTGCATGGCTTGCACGGCTTACATGGGTTGCACGGATTGCACGGGTTGCAAGGGTTGCATGGGTTGCATGGGTTGCATGGATTACAAGGGTCACACGGACCACATGGACCACATGGAAGGCATGGGTTGCAAGGGGCTTCAATGCTCACACAACTGCCCAGTCCATAAGAATAAATTACGTCTTTCTCATCCATACATGGGGGCAACGTAAACTCTTTGCAGATGTTCATGTAGCTGTATTTTTTCGATCCTAGGCAATCGTATCTATTCTCACGTTCGGCTGACACAAACACCTTTCCATCTTTCACTTTGACTTTGACTTGGTCGGGCTCAAAGCCGCACACATTCACTGACCCTAGTAAGTTACTACTGCAACAGGATGCTGCCAGAATCTTGTTTGTTGTTCTTCTTAATCTGCAATTAAGAAAATAAAAATAAAAAAAAAGCAGCTCAGACCAGACAATGCTTTAAGAGGGAGGCAGTGTGTCACGTTAAGTGGGGGTGGGAGTGAGGAGAAAGGGGTCATCTGGATGTTGGGGAATGCACATGGGACTTGGGGTCAGGCAGCTGCGTTTCTTGTACTCCCATCTCTACCACTAACTACCTAGCTGGATGTCTTTAGATGAGTCAATTAACCTGTCTGGGCCCTGCTCTTCTCATCTGTGAAATGGAGCTATGTGATTTCTGATGTCCCTTTCAGTGACTCACAAGGACAAATGTCAATTATTCAGAGGTGAGTGTCTAAATGGCTACCTGTTTCAGAATAGCTTATGCAGAGCCAATTGTATATTTGGATAAATAGTATGACTGCTCAGTTCCTGGACTTTGTCAAATGGCATTTAAAGGGGCCTCTGAGCTCTGAGTCAGGGACAAGTTCCTCTCTCCACCGTTCTTATTATAGGCTACCCCAAGGGTGGGAAACTTGCAGCCTCAAGGCCACATGTGGCCCTCTACCTCCTCAAGAGCAGCCCTTTGACTGAATCCAACTGGATTCACTTGAGGACCTAGAGGGACACATGTGGCCTCAAGGCTGCAGGTCCTTACCCCTGCAACCTATAGCTACAGCTGCAGTAGCCCTCCATTCTCTCTGAAGGAGTATGAGTCAACCTTTGGGGAAAGGTGGGTGGTTTCCTGAATATTCCCAGTGATATAGATGACAGTAACCTGTAGCCACCCACCGCATCTCACTGAGGACAGCAGATCACCTAATGTTATCCCCGACTTGACACCAGTGTATCTTTAGCTCGCTGCTACCATTGAATGCAGCTGATGCCATTGCCGGGTCCAAGAGCTAGGAATTGCATAAGGGTTATCAAAACCAGTTTAAAAAAAAAAAGAATATTGAATGCAGACATCAGAAGGGGCTACCTGACTTCGATCTCAACTGTCCCCATGATTGGAGCAGTTTAAGCCAGTTTCCCTGGAGCTCAAGTTTGCTGTTCTGACCAGATGTCACCCCTTTCTCCAAGTCTCCCTCAGACTTCTCTATGGACTTTTGATTGTTATGTAAAAGAATTTATGCAACAGCTTCTTGGGGCTGTGCCTCCATTTGAGGGGATTCCTTCCCTGTTGAAATGTTTTTAACCCTGTCCCCTCCTCTGCCCTTCTTGGACACTCCAGTACAACAGCTTTGGTGCTATGCGGAAGCCTTGGAGTGCAATGCCTTTGTCTTGGTTAAAAGATCCTAGTTTTTGCCGTTGGCAGTCTTCTTTATTTCAGGTTGACATATATGGTGTTAGGAAGTGGAATTCAAAGACTCTTGCCCAGTCCAGTTTTCAATCTCAGGTGCCCAGTACCAGCAGGGACCTCTTGTGTTCCAGTCCAGATTTGACTTAGTGGTTCGGCCTGGGTAAGTGAGTGTCTCAAATTTCCTGAACCCTCACCACTTTTTGGTCAAGTTCTTGGCTCTTTAACAACGAGTTGTTAAAAGACACACAAGTAATTTTGGGTCCCTTCCAGTGTGGCTGCTGGGTTTGTAATTATGAACCATATGAGGCCACTCTGATAGGTTGCCCTAGAAGGATACCTGCTGGCTATATGTTTTGTATTTTTGCCTCTCTTTGTGGAGCATGTTAAGTGTGCTTTGTGTGTTTATATGTATGAACACGAGTCAAAAGTCAGCGGATCTTTTTTTCCTTCTCCCTCTCATGGTCTGAGATAAAGGAGGGAAAGGGTGTGGTAATAGCACATAAAGGGAGCCAAAAATAGCAAAAACATCAGTGAGAAAGAAAAAGTTTGAGATGGCTTTTACTCTAGATGCTCCCTTTCCCCTCCTCAACCAATTAATTTGAATAAGACCCTTACCTTTGACAATGTTGTTCACTGAGCTATGTAAATCTCTCTGTCACAAAAAGCAGAATTGCCAGAAAGGTAATTTACACAGAGCTTGATTTTTTTTTTACTTGTTTTTAACTAATTTGTTTCTAACTAAAACTTTAATTGGGAATTGATCTTGAATATTGGAAATTGTAAATCCAGGTTTAATTGAGCCCCAAAATTAAGGTTTGTAGATTATGTTCAAATTGAATCTGAGGAACTGTCTGGCTTCTCGGCCACCAAACAGAGTTTTTAAGCGTTAGCTCATGGAAAAGAGAAAAGTTTGTGTGAATCAAGGATTAACCAAAAGGTACATAGGATTTGATTAGAAAATCTAAATTGGATACTTGGAAGTTTTACAAATTAGTGACAATAGAAATCAATTTAGAATTAACTTTTGAATTGGTGTGTGTGTGTGTGCATGTGTTTGAAATTTTGCTGTAATTTATATGAAATTCCTACCCATTTTTTATAATAGAGTATGTATTTAAATTTTTGAGAACTGTTTTGCTTCTTACACACACAAAAAAGAGAAGCTTATTTAATAAAGTAACTTGAAATGTACATGATATTTATTTAGAAAAATGCTTTGTGTTACTTCTGTGAATAATATACCCAAACTTAATTGCTATTAGGATAAATCAAGTTTTTATAAGCTGTTAAAAGTTTTCATAATTGCTAAGAACCTCTTAATGGATTTTTGGTGCGTTTGTCTTTTAGGGAATAACAAAATTGTAACTGGTTGACCATAACTCAACAATTTAATTGTTACAGGTATATTGATAGTTGATATTGTACTTCGAGAGTAAAAGTCTTTAATAAGTCATTAGTTTTGTTTAACAACATGTGCTAAAATTATAAAGGAAATATTCAATGGAGTTAATATAGTCTAGTATATGGTTCAAATGTGAGGAATGTAGGATTTGATGAAGTAAAGAAAATAGAAAATAAGAAAGGTGTGAATCACTGGAGATGTGCGGGTGTGTATAATATGGTGTGTGTGTGTGTGTGTGTGTGTGTGTAGGGGAGGAGATATCAAGGAAGAAAGTTTAAGCATGTTTAGAAAGGTTTAAGGAAGTTTTCTGATTTCATAGAAAGAAGAAAGTTATGGGAAACTTTATGTGGTTATTTTTTGCTACATGCCACTTGAAATTCCTGGGCTCTGAAGCTGGGGAATGGGAAAGGGAAGCTGCTCCTTATCCTTATCTGGAAAGCCTCAGGGGCAGGTAAAATGAGGCCTGAAACTAAAAATTGATCCAGTTCTTTGAGGAATTAAGGAAAGTTTGGATAAACATCCAGTGGTCCTGCCACTCACCTTTCAGGATGGTTTGTAAGAAGCTTTTGTCTATAGAGTACTTAATATCAGCCTCACTCCTATTCCATATCAAGTACTATGTAAATGTTTGGCTATTTTGATTTTCAGTGCTCCATTCATTGTAATAACTCTCTTTGTGAAAACTCTGTAGCTAATTACATGCTAATACTTAGTAAAAATTAAAAACTTAGAAGAATGGCTTCTCTTGTAACTTAGATGTAAACTTAGTTGTTGAAAAGTTGTCTTAAAGCTGTAAATTATTTTTGTTGAATGTATTCAAAAATCTCCTCCTCCATTGTTTTATCTGATAAGACCTGTGAGGCTTGCTATTTGATATGGTTATAAATTTGTTTCAGCTCTAGTGGTGGCATAAGTCTTGAATGCTCAAACCTGAGAACTACAAGTTATCTTTCAACGTTGGCTATTCCTAGCGTTGTGAAGCAGAATTCACCAAGCAGTGGGTTGTTCGGTCACTAATCTTTGGGGTCTTAAGCAGGAGGTGTCAGAAAAGTTACTGCAGGGATAAGAAGTGATCATAGCAACCTCACTTTTTGAAGGGAGTAAGCTCCACCTAAATTTGTTCTATTGTATTAAAGCCAAGTGTGATTTTCTATGTACAGTAATTTGGAAATGCATTCAGCTGAATTGAGGTCAACTGACTGGTAATGGGTTTTGTTTCTAGTTTCAGATCTATCCCTTATAAAATTGTGCAGCTCTGTGAAAGAATTTGTACATTGCTCCACTTAGGAAACTGATTCTCCCCCTCCATGGTAAACATTCCTTGATGAGAGGAGTGGAGTAAGCAGGAATTTGTTTATCATATAGCACTGTTTATTGTGAATTATGAAGTTATATCTGGAATAGTCCATGCTGAGATTATATCTTTAACTAACTTAGTTTTATTGGACTACAGTCTTAGAAATATATTTTTGCCTTAAAGGATTAGTAGTAATTTTATTAAATTCTAATAACTGTCTTTTTACATGGGTTGAATTTTAAGCTGTATTTGAGAAAGGGGAATATGAGATGAAAACAATGTTAACTTTTATATGATTTTTTGAAGGCCTTATAACTTATTTGTTAGCAAATTTATGGCAACAGCTTGACAGAGTTGATAACAATTGCATCCAACCCCATTGTGATTAGTGAGACTTTGATGTCTGAGGTGCAACCTTTTGGGACCATGAATTTTCTTTTTGAGCTTCCCTTTCAGGTTTGCTGTGTCCTTGAGTCAAAGCTTCACTGCTCCAGGAAAAATGCCAGCCGCTCAATGGGAGCGAAGTCTGTAACTCAAAGCCAGTGGATATCTGTCCCTAGGAAAAAATTTGGGAGAGTGACCTTGGGGAGGCTAAAGTAGGACTCTCTTGTCTCAGCTTGCCATAAAAGAAATCTTCCCACCTAGTTAATTCTGAGTTTGGCCGCAGTATCCTGCCATACACTTAGCTGTGTGCTGTGTGCTTATTCTCACCTGAAAGCGATTGGAACTAAGCGTGTTTTAGTCATTTTGGGATCCTTGATCTTTGTCCTGGAGGCTGCTATAGTGGTCCCAACATGCTTCTTCCTCTCCTAGCACAATCCCTATGACCAGTGCAAGTCCTTCTTCATGTAATTGTTATTGCAATGCCTTAGCAGTCCCTGCTGTTTTCAATCTGAGATTCCACACCCTGAACAACTAAGTAAGTGAGTATTTGGTTTTGTCATCTGCCTGCTTATAGTTATATATTCAAGTATGCGATAAGGTCCTTAAATTTTCTAAAATGCAATGGGAATAATTAAAAAATGA